TGCTCCTCGAAATTCGTATGGACTTTGGGATACCTCGAAATCCACTCAGCAATATATATATAGTAGAATACTGGACCCAGTATCCGTGTAAACGATCCCTTGAAAAGCAGCAATAGCTGAAGGGCTGTCGTTTTTAATTAACTGTTATATAGAGAATAATATATTCATGGGTGCGCGGAAATACCAGATTTATTTCGAGTGTTGAACATGATATCTCACGAGTGAGCGCAGCGAACGAGTGAGATATCATGTTCAACACGAGAAATAAATCTGGTATTTCCAAGCACCCATGTATTTTTCTGTTTATTATATAAAGGACAGTCTTTGAAAAGCGATAATTTTTAGAGAAAAGCGCTAAATGAAAAGCGATAATTTTCACATGTGAGATTATCATGAATGATCTCACATGTGAGATTATCACTTTTATCAGTGCTCGAAATCTCTATAAAGCACTATACTTAAATAAATATTAATAACTAAATAAATAAACGCACACGACGTGTAACCACACAATAGTCATGCATAGTCAGCATACTTCCAAAATACTGCAGATGATTGTTCATTTCCTCACGAATTTCCCGATAACTAATCGTAGTTTTTTTCCTTTTAGACAATAAACAAAATGGTAAGTTATTTGAATTGTAATGGAACGTAATTGGTATTTACTTCTAAGGTATTGAGTTCTGTATTTTGTAAGCAGGTTGGATAGGTGGCTGTATATATTAATGTTAATATTGTCCAGTTTCGTGTTCAGCAAAAATCGATTTAGTAGCACAGAGGTTGATGCTTCTACCTTTCAACTCTGCGATCGAGGTTCAATTTCATGCACTTGAATGGTTCAAATCTCGAAGGCCGGTGCCAGTATAGGTATAGAGACAATAATGGACAGCAGGGCCGACGGAGGACCTTCGCTTGAAACGTCGGAGTTCTCCTTTTATTTTTCAGGTAGTTGTATATCCTTTACAGCGCCGAGGGGCAAATCACTGCTAGAAAGTATGCATGACTTTAGGACTTTCGAAAGTTCCAACATGTTATGACTCTTATATGGACTGATTTTCTTTGGAGTGATTTTCCTTGGATGGTTATAATTGACTTTTGCTGACAAAAACCTTCAGTTGTTCAAATGCATTCAGTTGTGTCTATTTTTATTTTTTATAGTCGCCAACGTCATTGAAAGTAACCTTAAAACAAATTAGGGAAGGAGCAAAATTGCGAACTCTTTTTGAATGTCTAATAATGGAATATCGCCTGTGTCAACGCTTTATGGTAAATACAACTTTTGACTTCTGTTTTTGTTATGCAAAAATATGTAATACCACTTTCACTTGTTAATACCACTTTAATTCACTTCTAAAACCACTTTCACTTGTTAAATATTTCTACAAGGTTAACCTAGAAATAACCCTATTTGGATTAACTTAATATTCCTGGTTAAATTTCCTGGTTATTTTACTATATTCTAGTTCATAATCGTTTGATCACGACTTCCTGGAAATTAAATTAACAAGACTATTGACCGAATCGAAAACTAGTCGCCACAATTTTACTTTAAAGCAAAGTGTAAGCGTTTAAGAATGAAAACAATCCATGCAAGCAAAATTATAGCCCCATGAAATATGCAAGCACCATAACGAGGCTAGTCATTTTTCTTCGCTAAGTCTAGCACAAGCTCTGCTATTTTTGAGATTTAATTTCCCAAATAGAATACATGCATCTGTTATTATATTTATTTTGTCTCTGCAACTTGCATCGTAATTTCGGATACAGAGCCATGTTATGTAAATAAAATATAGTCACAAAGAAATTGTGTGCATGGCTCGTATTCTGTCGACACTTTCTTAACCTGCGTGGCAGACGGTCAGCCCGTCGCCGAACACCTGAAAGCAGACGAGGGGAAGGAAGCGCAGGCTAACTTCAGGCTAACACTTTCTTTACATAACATACTCGTAAGGGATGAAATATGAAAAGAAGATGAGGTGGAAAGTGTTGGCAGAGTAAACCGTGAGCTAACTTCACAATTCCTCGATAACACTATGACAGACACTATGTCTGAAATTCCGTTGCAAATTGCTGCAAAAATGCCTCTTATAATATGACCATTATATACTGATTTTTTGAATTTGTCTTTCTACCAGAGCGATAAAGATTTCTATGAAGGTATACGTGCTGGTAAGCTGATTTTCAATGGAAATTTTGAACGCAAAATCTTCAATCATAACATGGCACTCGTAACATCAAAACAATTTGTTCAAACATACAAAAATTGGAAAATTATTCATTCAAAGATTTTATTTTTTCTTTAGTTTTAATTGATAAAGACAATCAGCCTAAGTGGAACCCCGGCACATTACAAGATGTTACGACCGACAAAGTTGACTCTTATTTTGCCAGTTTGGGAGAAAATGAATTAGAGTTTTAAGACAGAGGGTAATTATGGTGAGACCGAGGAGTACTGGTATATAAATATGCATAGCGCACGTAAAAAAATAATATGCATAAATTTTCACTTATTGTGCTATATAAATATCGTATTTTTATTTCATTATTTCAGAGGAAAATTTTTATTTTAATCACAAAATGTTAGATAATTAAGAGATGATGATTTCGTCTGTAATTAATAAGAATGTATAAATGACACACAATCAAATAACTGGAGAATTGGGGTTACTTACTGATAGAAAACAATGGAAATTTCGAATATATGCATCTTTAAAATCCAAGATATAGATCAAAATCAAGACAAGATTTTATATAATGGATATATTTCGACTTTATTTCAAAGTCTTCTTCGGACCAACTGACTACAATAAACTGTCTATAGCTATGTGTACGTTCTTTTTTATACAAGCGAAACGATATTTGCAGTATGTGACGAGATTTGTTAAAATATTTACTTTCGTAAAATGTACTTAATTTGGTAAAATTATACGAGCGAAACGATGTAATAGGTGTAAAGGTATACGATATTACTTTTATTGTGAATCTGTATATAGGTGACGAAAAGTAGTTTCCAAGGTACTGTTATTCAATCACATATAACCTATACACGTACGTATACATTATTCAAAAGTTAATCTTAGTTTAACCGTTGGTAACTTCTTACTTATCAGTTAAATATCCTTTTGCTTGCATACATATAAAATACGTAGACATGTACAGTTTATTGTAGTCGTGCGATTGGTATAAAGAGGGCAGGGCTGTATAGCGAAGAGGCTAAAGCAAGGGGTGTGTAGTATCGCATTTGCCGACGACATTTCAGTCGCTAATTAATCATTTTTCCCGAAATAGTTGGCGAGGGGGGGGGGGACATACAATTGTTCATTTTCTGGACATACAATTGTTCACTAACTTTCCAATTCGTGCACCGTAATCTCTTAATTTTTTCTATAACTATTACTTCTTAATCCAAGCCACTCAAATATTTTCGCTGATTACGAAAACGATTTGCCAATAAAACGGTTATTTTGCCGAAAAGACGTTTTCAGGGGGGGCGTCGCATATCCTACACACCCCTATAGGCTATAGCTACGGCCCTGAAAGAAGGCTTTGAATTAAAGTCAAAATACTATACATTCATGCACTTAATGTCTGCTCCTGAGGGAAATAGTTTGGTTTGTTTTCCCGAAAGTCTCAACGATGTCGCTCGTCTCGGGAAACGTTGAGATTCGTGGGAAAACAAATCTATTTCCCGAGGGAATAGACATTAAGTTTTTTGTTCTATAGCAACGAAAGAAAAATCAACAACATTGACACAACAATTGTATTTCATGACAAAAACTCTATAGTGTAAACAGTTTAGAATTGAAAGAACCTACTTAAACGGTTTCAGCAGTATGTGATGTTGCCTGTTGTATATATTTTCTTCTCTGTTATACATACTTTATTTTAACACAAACTCGGAAAATAGTCGAGGCGGACAACAATTTTTCGCCTGTTGCCAGGCGGGATACATTGCATTTATCTAAAGCCACGTGACCGCAAGTCAGCCAATCACGTTTGGTGTTCACGCTATATAACAAAACCCCATAAAATTTCGTCTTGATTTCGATCCATATCTTGGATTTTCAAGATGCATACATTCGGAAGTTGTTTCGTTAAGGGGTTTTTGTTTAGGGGGTTTTCAAATTGTCAAATATATATCACATGCTAGTGTTAGGGTTAGCCCTAGGATTAGTCCTAGGGTTAGCGCAAGTTTTTTGAGTTTACCCTAGGTTTATGGTAGAGTTAGGGTTAACCCTAGTGTTAGGGTTAACCCTACGGATATAGGATTAAGATTAGCCTTAAGGACCAGTCATTATTTATGACGGGGGATGGCACCAAAGAGAAATGTTTTTCTTGGTAACAAATTTGCTGATCCAGCCATTAAAAAGTCAGAATTGTTCTTTACCCAACCTCAAATACCAATTAAAAAATAAATACCCACTCCTAGCCAACAACTTTACAAACTGATGATACCATCCAGTTGTCACATATGTCCTTTACCACTTGGTGGTCGTGTGGTGGTGGTGAATTTTACCTCGGGGTATCGCAAGTACTGATCTGTAACACCGAGAGCGTGCTTTCCATTTGGAAATGACCACGGTCTGCATGGTTGGTAGTTACGTCATCTTTGCAGGTCCCGTGCGTTTCGTATGTCTGGAAATTTGGCATTCAAAGAATCTTATAATAATAATAATATTATTAATAATAATAATAATAATAATAATAATGATTTATTATCAGTATTTCCATACAATGGCTCTTCACCTGATAAAACTACTACTACAATATCTAAAGAAATAGTAAGAAAGTTGTAAACCTAGACCTAAGCATTACAATTAAATAGTGAGACAGCGTTGCTTTAAAATATTAAAAGTTTGTCTAGAGAAGGCTCTATGATCTGTGCATGATTTGATATCAGCTGGTAGAGAATTAAATAATGAAGCTGAACAATCTTGAAAGGTATTATAAACTAGAGGTATAACTAAATTGACTTGAGCATTAGACCGTAAAACACGTGTGTGTTCAGACCTTTCAAGGCTAACATAGAGAGGCCAATCGCTACTATATAACGC